ACATCAAGCCTAAAACTATTCTCTCCTCTCTAAAATTCCCTAATCATTTCATTGATTATATAAATTTAAAAAATATTCTAAAAGCGTTGCTGTATCAACTCAGGCTCTGCTTTCGATTTTTAAAGTGTCTAAGTTTATAACACTCTAAGTAGGGTCAGGCTAACTGTCATAAGTTTTGAAAAGTTTTTAGTAATCAAATACCTTTACATTACAATATCAAAGGTACTTCGATTTTCTTCTAGAGTTTAGAGGGCCTTTTTTACATTCCAAGATTGTTTGGTCATGTAAAATATCAACCTTGAAATTTGTAAAGGAAACGAAAGGAGAATTTGCAGTATGTAAATCAATTGTGCGAATCAAGGTCCTTTCAGTACACACAAGTACAATCGGCACTAAATCGTAACAGTTTCCAGTCGAGTGCAACCGGTTTTGCTCTTGGATGCAGAAGTTCCCATATGTTTCCTCTGCAACTGGGAGGGAGAAGAGGAAGAATTTAGACAGCATTCCGCGGACATCATTAGCAAGCGCGTGGCAGAAAAAAACCGGCAAGTCAAATCGCCTCATTTAACACTCTCTGGTTACTTTTGGCATAATTGGGCCGAACCGCCGGTCTCTCTGGACGGACTGGGCGACTTGAATCTGGAACAGATTTGGAAGTGGAACCTAATAAGGAAAATTTAGTATCGGTATATCTTCCGATTTTGAGAACACCTTTTGTTTACGAGGATACAATCTTTGGAGAAACATCATTCAAGATTTTAAGATATTCTTAAAGATTTTTGGAATTTCAAGATGTGATGTGTTCATGAAGTTTGGAGCTTGGGTCAAATTATGCCTACAATATTTGGAAGTTAATTATTTATGAGGAATCATTATGAGTCTCAAAGAAAATGGTTTGGTGGATCATCATCTAAAAGCTTAGTTAGGGACATCAACCACTTCTTCAGAAAATAATTCAGGGTGGCTTAGTGAGTATATCTATATAGGGCCACTTGTATACTAACATTTTCTTAGTTCTTTATTTCAAAACTATTATAACAGCGATTTGAGGATACATCAATACTTCTTTAACAACAACAAATCTTAGTTGCGGAATACAAAGACGTTCTCGGTGGAAAAGTTGAGAATAGTTTTGTGAAATGTTGACATTTCATAGCTACAGGGCCAGTTTTCTACGCAACCTATCCTGAAATTTTCATGAATTCTCAATTTCATTACATTAGGCCAAAATTCGTGAAAATCCAACAATATTTCCATTTTCCCTACATTAGAACCATTCCAAGACTGCAGTACAGTACTCACAAAGTCAAATTAATTACCCATTGAATCCAACTAAGTGTATAATTTATAATTTTTCCGCCGGGTATCTACGTGTTGATCCAAATTTCATCAGTATTTTTAATAAGACTTATGAATATTCACCCTCGACACACTCTCGACTGCACCTGTCTAGTTTGCATATTCTATCACCCGGTTTTGGCGGGAGTGCAGAAAATAATTTGACGGGTAAAATTTAACAGGTGTTTAGACACTGATTAAAGACGGCGGCATTGCTACAATTCGGCCACTCACGTCGGCTGAACGGTGTCATAAAACCAGCTGTGCAAAACGATTGAATTTTATGGTTAAGAGATTGGCAATTTTTCACTCGATGTGAGAGTTTCGGCGGTAGAATTAACGCTTATCCATCACGAATACTTGGATGAATAATGTCTCAAATTTGTCAAAAGGAATTGGTTCAGGAAGGGAATCGTTATTAAAATATATCTAGTTAAACTATATTTTTCCAATAGAAGTGACAAATAATTAATTATCATTATCATGAATACTATCTTTAATCTCAGAAAGTAACGCCTTTAAGAAAATATGAATTCTAAAGTAAGTAAAACAGCGTTGTATGGTTGAGATCAGTTGTTCCTACACTGTTAAATCTCGGCCTCTGGCATATGACTGTGATTGAACCAGCAAAACTATGGCCAACGTTTATTTCAAATATTACTTACTACACAGTTGCATTACAACGTTGATATTTTGAAACTTCAAAACAATAGGCTTCTTCAAGTGATCAGAAGGTGTGGGAAGCCACCGCATTATTTTAACCCTCTTAGTCTTACCATCCTTAGCCTTTTGCTTATTTTTTAATTCCCTCAATAAGGTATTCTCAGAAGAGGGATTTCGAGGGGTTTTGTAAAGCGACCCCACATAATTAAGTAAGCTCTAGTAATATTTATTCACCTTTTAGAAAAAGAGAGTAAATCTGGAAGGCCTTCTCAATCAAGTTCCAATCAGCAGTTAAGTCAGCTGTTTAATGTAATGTCTGCCACTTCAATCATCAAGTATATTGGCAGATTTTGATAACATTGTAAAGCTACGCGCGCACTACGGCGGCACGGCACGGACGGGCGGTACGGCACGGACGGCATTTTTAAGAGGGGGTGCGCGCACTAGGGCGGCACGGCACGGACGGACGGGACGGGACATCCGCACATCCGCCATTTAGGACAGTTTACAGTCTGTGAGCTAAAAATTGTGAGTAAAGATGGATGTAGATAAAGTGGTGATAGTAGGTTTAATTTTAGCAGAGGAAGAGGAGACAAGAAGGTGCAAGCAAAGATTTGAGATACACCACATAAACAGGAAAAGATTAAGTTTTGGAGAGTTCCACACCCTGTTTCCTGATCTTGTAGAAGGATTATGTGTAAAACTTACCTGGTTGTTTCATAATAGATCATATTTCTGCCCATATATTGTCACGCAGGACGTTATTAAAATATTCCGGATGTCGCATGTTGTACAGTTTCGGGTATTTCTCAACGAGAAAATTCAACTTACTAAAATCTATGTTTGCAACACACGAAACACTGCTACTTTGACAGAGATCAGTTGAGAATGGCGGATGTCCCGTGCCGCCCGCCCGGTCGGTGTGCAGTGCTCCCGGACGGTACGGGCGGTACGGGCGTCACGGCAGCTCGGAAATGTCCTAGAGTTCTGTCTCCCGGACTTTTTAACAAACGGCGGAAGCTGCCGAACGTCCGTTGCCGGCCGTACCGCCGTAGTGGGCGCACTCATATGACAATCAATGTTATTAACTTTTAAAAATTGCCGTACCGCCCGCCCGTCCGTGCCGTGCCGCCGTAGTGCGCGCGCAGCTTAAGACTAAAACTAAACCGGCAAGATGTTTCGATCTTATTGCAACTTTTATCACCAGTATGCAAATGAGCTAATTGCTATCGCCACTGCAGTGAGCATTTATTTTGTGTTAAGCGAAATCGCCGTTTGCAAGCGTAGTATTAGTGTTTGTATCAGATGCAGTTTAATCAGATACCAGCTAAATTACGGTACACTTTGATCTAAACTCGAAATAAATTACATTAGGCTAATAATTGAGTCTGTGGCTTTCTTGCAAAAAGGTACAAAAATGTGGTTTGGTTTTAGACTACAGGGAAACAGTGTATTGGAAAATTTAATACCAATAAATCAAACGTCAGATTACTTTTAACACTGTTCTCCCCATCATTAATGCATTTATAAATGCAACAGGTATCCAGAAGAAAACCAACTTATAAATAATGGACGCTAAGATAAGGTTATAACGGCTTCTACAGCGGACTTGTCGGTGTCTTGGCGGTAGAATAGACGACGAAAACGGAAGACGCAATATAAGGGACCTCAAAGCAGCGATAGTTGCCGTCGAGCATGCTATATCAGACTACTGAAAGGAGCGAGGTAGAAAACAAAATTCTAGAACTAGAAAACTCAGAAGATCCTGATTTAGAAACTTCTCTAACGCTTGCAGCAGAAGTTGGAAACGCACTTCTAGCACAAAATAGCAAACTAAGAGAAGAAGTACTCAACCTGACTCAACAAAACTCGAGTCTGGCCCAGAAACTAACAAACATACAAACCATCGACATCATGAACTACCACGCTCAAATTGAACAACTAGAAGATGAGAAAAATACTATTCTAATTAGAAACAACGACCTAATCGAAACAATAACTGAACTAGAACACCAATTGGAAAAGGAAGTAAGCCTGAGAAACACTCTCACAAAAACATTTGAAGATTATGACAAAGACAGGGAAGAAACTTTTAATAGCTTCAACACAAAAATAAAGGACATGGAGAATGAAATTAAATGCCTTAGGCAAAAAAATACATGCAGCAGAATAAACACCGGAGAAGAATCTACAAAATCATTCAGAGAGACAAGCACACAGACAACCACTACAGAGGCGAAGGACCTCACAAACAAAACCACAGTTTCAGACAGCAAAAATCCAGAAGCATCAAACACAGAAACACTAATTCTACTTGAACTAAAGGCCCTAAAAGAAAAACAGAATAATATGGAGTCAAAAATGAAGAAATTAGAAGATAAAATAACAGTAGAAGATTCCCAGCAACTAATAACTGAGAAAAAGGAGACTCCTTGCAAGCCAATTAACACACCAAGACGAGTTTCATATAATAAAAACAAATTGGCAACTACTAAGAAAACCCATTTCAGTGTTTCCTTGCAAATAGCAAAAAGCAAGTTGAGGAAAGAAGCACCAGAACACCAAAGTCAACCACAACAAACACAAAATCAAAATATTAAAAAACCCAAGGCCATCAAAATTCCAAAAGGAGTTTGCTCTACTTTCAAGGGCACTATATCTCCCCCAAACAAATCAACTAAACCAAAGAACACAGGGAAACCCCCGATCACCGCCAAGCTTCTTAAGCCGGGAGAGACCATTGAAGACTTCTTTTGGAAAAATATAGACCTATATAAAAAGAATATTCTGTCACACACCAAGCGACTAAACATGACCGAGATGGACTGCCTCTCTTCTCAAGGAGAACAGAAACATGAGCAGCTGCAAGAACCCAATTCAAGTCAACAATCTAATAACTCTACAGTGCCCCATACTATAACCCCTTTTTTAGAAACAAACAGCCTGAAAAAAGCAAAAGAAAAATCTGCAAATCTCCAAATAATTCTTGTGTAGCAATAATGCACCAAAATATTAGAGGACTTGCTACAAAGACGAACAGACTACACCATATTCTCAATGACACAAAACCAAGCATTCTAGTCTTGACTGAACACGGACTGAAAAAAACAGAGCTAGAAGCTACAAAAATTCCCGGCTACTCTTTAATTACCCACTTTAGTAGAGAAGAACATAAACTTGGAGGTGTTGCAATATATTCCAAGGAATCCCTTGCTGATACAGTATCAGCTATTAACATATCAAACACATGCCAGGAGTTAATTTTCGAAGCAGCAATGATTCGCATGCAGACAACAAAGAAAAAGGATATCTACATTCTGGGAATCTATAGACCACCAATCGAAAATGCAAGAATTGCCCTTGACCTCCTATCAGACACGCTAGAACTACAAGAAGTACACAAGAAAAACCTAATACTTATCGGTGACATAAATATCGACAGGCTCACCCAAGATTCCAAAAACACCATGCTGGAAGAAGAGTTAACCACACAAAACATCTGGAGATTTCCTCTAGAGGCCGCCAGAATAACCCATGACACAGCCACTTCAATAGACTGTATATGCTCAAACATACCATGTGCGTATATTACTGGACAAGTTGTGCATACTGGTCTATCTGACCACACTGCGCAGCTGTGCCTGCTGAAAACACACCAAGAAGACACTTCCCAAAGATTTGTAATGAAAAGAAGCCTAAACAACACAAACCTAAACAATCTGAAGGCCCACCTCCATCTACAAAATTGGGAACATGTTTACTCTTCACCCAATCTTGAAACCTCCTACAACAAATTTCATAATATTCTTCAAACAGCACTGGATTATACATGCCCATTAAAGAAAACTAAAATTATTAAAAACAAAAAACATATGAAGTACTACGATCCTGAAGCAAAATACCTTAAAGAGAACTTTTTGAAAGCTCTGCAAAAGTTTGAGTTAACGAACAGAAATGAAGACAAATTAGAAATGATTAATAGAAAAAGGATATACGACATGAAACTAAGAAACCTAAAAATGTCCTCAACAGCTAGCTTCATAGAACAAGCTGACAACAAACCAAAAGCACTATGGCAAGTTATAAACAAGGAAAGGAAAGGAAAATGTGAAGAGAAAACCCTTGCAGAATTAGAAATAAATGGCAAACTCACAAACAACACAAAAGAAATGGCCGAACACTTCAACACATTCTTCTCAAATATAGCAGAAAATACCCTTGACCAAAACAGAGCAATCGTTATAGACCCTGAAACAGTGCTGAGTGGAGAGGAACCAGTCTGCCCAATACACCTTACCCTAACTTCAACATCCTATAAAGAAGTTAAAACGATAATAAACTCCCTAAAAGCCAAAACATCAAGTGGAATAGATGAGTTTTCCTCTAAGATGATAAAGCACTGCTCTCAAGAACTCATCTCTCCTCTGGTTTATCTTATAAATAAATCATTTAAAGAAGGCAAATTCCCATCCGCCATAAAAGTCAGTAAAATATACCCCAAACATAAAAAAGGACCAACTGAAAATGCTCAAAACTACAGGCCCATTTCTCTCATCTCCAGTTTCTCTAAAATCATAGAAAAAATTGCTCTGGCTAGATTAATGGCACATCTTAATCATAACAAACTCTTAACTGACAACCAACATGGCTTTCGGAAGAATAAATCTACATCCTCAGCTATAACAGCACTAATTGAGTACGCCCTAGACCAGATAGAAAACGAACAATACATTTCCGCCATCTTCCTTGATTACAGTAAGGCTTTTGACTGCCTGGGCCACGACCTGATATGCAAGAAACTTGAAAGACTCGGTATAAGAAACTCTGCGCTAGAATGGTTCAAAAGCTACCTAACGGGACGTTCACAAGTCGTGGAACTGAAAAACTCATCAAATGAAGTCACAGAAAGTTTCAAACCTTCAAAAAGCAAGCTGACGAGAGGAGTTCCACAAGGCTCTGTATTAGGCCCGATTCTATTCATCTTATTGACTAATGACTTCCCCAAACAAATTGAGAGTGAAAATGCTGTTGCAATCATGTATGCAGATGACACAACCATTTTGATCAAGGACAACACAGCCCAAAGCCTTTACCTTAATTCAAAATCGATCTTAAATAAAGCTATCCTCTACTCAAAGAACAATGACTTAGCAATAAACCCCACAAAAACTACAACTCTGAATTTCAGTAAGAAAAAAGACATAGTCCCTCAATTAGAGGATGTAACAATAGAAAACTACACAAAATTTCTCGGTGTTATCCTTGATAACAAACTAACATGGAAAGAGCACATCAACCACCTAAGCAAAAAAATCAGTACTGGAATATATGTCGTCAGAAGGATAAACTACATAGGCGGACTCTCTGTGGCCAAAACAGCTTACTTCGCACTGGTAGAGTCGCATCTTAGATATGGCTTGACAGTGTGGGGAGGAACTTCAACAAAAAATATGAATCGAATTCTTGTCCTTCAAAAGAAAGCCATAAGAGCCCTCGCCAACCTTGTACCACCACAGACTTGCAGACTAGCATTCGTAAACCTAGGAATCCTCACAGTGGTGTCTCTCTACATACTTGAAACCATTAAGTATGTGAATGAAATAAACCCCCCAAGAAACCAAGACCTGCACCACTACAACACCCGTCATGGCTCCAAATTTGCACTACCAGTTCACCGAACAACTCTTTGGGAGAAAAAACCTTCCTACACCGGCTGCAAGCTGAGGAACCATCTACCTGACTACCTGAGAGACCTGACTGGCAACAAGCTAAACCAGGAGCTGAAGAAGTGGCTAATCGCAAGACCCTTCTACTCAATAAAGGAATTTTATGAAAATTAACATGTACAATTCACTATTGTATTGACACTATTGTAATTCTTGACGAATTAACAATAAAGAATATTGTATTGTATTGTATTGTATTGTACTCCTCGCCAAAAGCAAACTTGGATTTAATCCCGTTGACCCGTTACGATAATGCTAATTGGGATTAACTTGAAGATAATGTGGTTCCAGGAGTTGATAAATATTTATTCTGAATGTACAAAATTGTTTATTCATACAGCTAGGTGGTTATAATGTTACCCTGACAACCAATAAGGTCAGTTATAAGGCAGCCGTTGGTTTTAGCGAATTTCCCATATAGGGAATAAGCTATTACCGTAGGTCTCATGGTAAGACCTAGACCCGGGACCGATTTACTTTTTCGTTTTGAAGTCCCCAGAGGCCAAAAACACCATCCGTTCAAATTCATATATATATTTATATATGTGTCCGTTAGCGCGATAACTCGAGCAAAATTGATCCGATTTTGATAAAATTTGGTACAAACGTGTAAACCTACATTTATTCGAACGAGTTCGCGAACCAGCATAATCGGACCATGGGATCAGGGGTTTATGGGGGGTTTTATGGGGTAAAAATGGGTTTTTCTCATTTTTGACCCTAAAACCTTTAAATTTCTAAATTTCTCTCTAGACCATTTTGAAGAGCTTAAAAAAACAAATAATTTAGTATATTGAAGTGTTTTTGAATGTTCATTGACTACGGAGAAAATTAAAAAAAATTTTAAATTTAAAATTCCCATGTTATTCTTATGGAGAATAAATAAACTGCTCTAGTCTGCTTGTTTATGGATATATTTTAATCAAATTTGGCAATTTGGTTTATTTCATACTAAGCTATTAATATTTCAATTGAAAAAACACACCTCAACATCTTCCCCGTAACAGCAAACCTAACTACTCACTAAAATTAATGTTAGGCTATAGGAAATAAATCTGAAAATTTATAGGGAATATTTTAGTAGAAATCAAGCCGGGTAAATGGAAATTCGCTTAGTATGCAGGTTTGCTGCGACGGGGGTATTATTTATTTGTAAATTCTCATTCGTTTAGTTTACTGTACCAAATTTTCAAAACAATAACTAACTTAAAACATTTTGAAACCCTTCAATGATTTTAAGAGTTTTAAATAGAGGTCATTTTTATTGGACACTTGAATCATCATGAAGTACCTATAGAAACCCCATTGATCTAGAATTAGGTATACATTATGTCTTATAATGGTTGGTGTTTGCAATCAAATTAAATCCCTTTAACCAATCACATGTAAATGCTGATAAATAAATTATATTAATATTGTCAATACTTAGCTTATTTATACAAAGACTATCTAAAAAATATATCATCCATGATTTCAATATTTCTAGGTTACAGACAACTCAACACTGTACATATTATGATATTCCCACAAATCTAATTCACATTTCTTAACACGTCCACAAACATTAACCTTTTCCACAGCCATTTAAATCTCCGATCTTTGCAATACAGATACGTCAGCAACAGCGGCTCGCCGCGCCAGGTTATTGTACTCCACGCAAGTGATAAATAAACCGGATGATTTATTATAGTGCTGGCAGCGACAAAGACAGCTCTCGGAGGCTGTGGCAGCCCACGCTACTGTCTTCTTCTCTCCGCTCCCGCCAGAGCGCCGCGCCCTCAACATAACCTCAAAGTCCCACTTGGTATTGAACTTGGGCTGGCGGCCCACTCTCTGTCGACGACTGGAGACTGGACAGGAGATTTATAAAGGGTCGTAGGCAGACCTACAGGGCCAGTAGGACGCTGTGGGTTGATAAGAATACCTCGAAACAATAATATGTGTTAATCATGGTGATTTATAGTTTACAATGTCGTGCACCTTAATACAGACCTTACACGACCAATATTATTGACAATATGATTGACTCAATAATATTGTCAAACCGTACAAACTGAGCCGGATCAACAATATTGTCAATATTTGTTTCATGTCAATCCAGGACTTGCTCAGTACCAAAATGGACTTCAAGAAGAAATCATGTCTTGTTAATATTTTACACTTTGCTTTAAAAATTAGAGTAAAACGTAAGAAGTGGGTAAAGGAAGGAGTGGTTGTTAAATTAAGAGTATACACACTTGAGATTGTTGAAAGAAATTTCGTCGAGTGACCCTGGAGACTACCACAATTACCAAACAATGAATGAAGATAAGTTCAAATTGTTACCCTCAATGGTAGAGCCATATTTATCAAAGTACAAACATGCGTCCATGCGTGCATATATTACTGTGAGGAAAACTTGTTGTTACCCTTCGATATATAGCTACTGGAAGAAGCTTTGAAGATCTGAATTTTTCAGCAGTTATGTCACTTGCAACGATCAGTAAAGCTATATAAATCTTCAATGTACGCATGTACTCCGTGAACTTCCAGTATTGATGACTGGATTTCAAGATTTGTGTCAATATCGGTCGTCATGCCATCAATCTCGAGGTGGTACTCCCAATAATATTGTCAATAATATTGATCGTGTAAGGGGACACAGGACAAGAAGCGTCTAGGTCTAATACAATAATAACAGGTTCTTTTAATTGAAAGGTAAAAACTTAAGCCTAATTTAAGAAAGAAAAAACTGCAGCAGGAGGCATTCTCTCTAGGCAGTATCATATCGCCAGATCTATAAAAATAACGAAGGTTTGCAATTCCTTCTTCAACACGCCCTCATCAACGGAAGCTATAGAAGAAGACCAATCTGCAATAGGTGCGCCCTGCCTGATCCAAATCTTCTAGCACGCTGGACATTACAAACACAGCTGAAATGGTACAATGGCACAAAGAAGCTCTGTTTCACACTAATCTACCCAGCCGTTTAAAGCCAGCGCTATCGAGAGAGTTAATTTATTTTCCTTCATCTTCAAACCAAACTATTATTTTATATTTTACCAATACACCACCGTTAACTAGTATGGCATAAACCCCGTGACCAGCCGATGTTAAGCTTTTGTAAAAGACAGGGGAGGAGTTAATACATTCAGGATATTTATCTTAAGCCTGCAGTAGGTCTGCAAGGCCAGGCTCTAGAGGCACTCTGCCATGTACATCTTTAATGATCTATCAAATCTAGAATTTGCTGAAGTTTTGGGTTAGAATAAACATGAGCGAAGTGAGGGTGAAATCTGATAATTTTAACTTGCAGTCTGATACGGTTATCTAGATTCTCCGCCAAACCTATATCTGTCTGTCATGATGCGTTTGAATAGACAAAAACTAAATGAGGATAAATTGTTACCAACTTTGCAATTATTTAACATATTTTTATCTGTACGTCGAAGCTTGTCTAGACATTCTACCCTTTAAAGCTAGATTTGTCTGTTGATGTGTTTGAATGGACGAGGGCGGCCATAAGCAGGGCAGATTAGGATTACAGCTGTTGACATTCCACAGTCGTCTGAGGTGTGGCGGTCAACTGTGGCTTATAGTGGCGCGTGTGGAAGCCGACATTCCTTGTATTACATACACTCTGGTTGAAACTGACCCTTAAGAGGTTGGCAAAACGAATGATTTAACTGATGAAGAAATGAGAAATAGAAGAAGATTATGATGGGGAAAACGAAGATGGCGAAATAGTACATACAAGCCTGGCTGAAAATGACCCTTGATAGCTTTGCAAAACAAATGCTTTAACCAAAGATTACATATGCTTATGTAATCTTTGCTTTAACTGATGAAGAATTGAGAAATAGAAGAAGATTATGATGGGGAAAACGAAGATGGCGAAGTAGTACATACAGCCTGGCTGAAGCTGACCCTTGATAGCTTGGCAAAACAAATGATTTAATCGATGAAGAATGCTAAATAGAAGAAGATGATGATGGGGATAGCGAAGATGTTAAAACAAAAGTCGAAAAATAATTATAGGTTTTACATAGGGCTTACAGGTTGACTGAAACTGACCTTTGAGAGGTTGGCAAAACGAATGATAAAATCCATGATGATTAAGAAGTAGAATAAAATGACGATTGAGACAACAACACGAAGATGGTGAAACAGGAGATGAAGAGTTAGAAGAAAATTACAAAATTTATTAAAACTATCACGAGGAAGGAAATTATTCTAATGATGATGATGGCTATGATGATATCATTGTTGATATTTATCGATTTTTGTTGGATTTGTTTATGGATTGTTGTAGGAGAAAGAGACGGTGGTGGTCCTAATGATGAAAAAGGATAAAAGTTTGAAGAAGATGAATAAGAGAAGGCTTGATTTTTAAACTTTCATACAGATCAAATAAACAAGTACAGAATAGCAAAATTCTTGAAAATGACATCCGTAACCTACAACAATAAAGTCAATAGCCAGATTTTCCAAAATCAAAACTAAAATCCATCAATGTAAATTTTAAATTGTTTTGATGTACGAGGTAACTTACATTGAACGTTGTAGGTCATCAAAGGCTTGTCTATTTTTTCTACCACCTTATATTTGTATTTCTTGCTACTATATTTTACATAAGGAAAGGACCACCCATCGCCATGAAATGTATGAGACATAAAACGTTGTCTTCTCTTATTTTTCCAAGGATTTATTATTGCAGACTATATTCTTAATGTATATCTGAGGCACAGAATAATAGAAAATGGAAAGAGTTATTATCCATAAATAAAAGGATTTAGAACTCATAAAACGAACTGTAATATTTCGCACTTTTACTCTTTAACAAAGAAAAAGAAGATTTTAAGCGTGTTTAATTTGACATGTTTACTGCCTTTCTGGTGACAACCAATGCCTTCCTCGCTAATCTTTCTGTATCCGTTTCGATCCGTTTAGGACCGAAGTCAAATCGTAAACCTCTAAAGTGTTTGTGGCGCAATAAACATCCGGAGTCAAGGACATTCATTCAAAAGTCAGGGCCAAAAGTGACACAGGACTTAGGACAGCCGTCGAAATATAAAGTCATTTGTATGAACGATATGGATAATGTATAACGCACACAGCGAAACTAACAAAGAATAAAACACTATAGTGAAAATTTACGAGTTATATTAAAAATCTTTAACTTGTGATAAAGGATTATTGTTCAAATTTACTTGGGAGTTTAGTAACATGTTGTTCTATATAATAGAACACAGCGTTTTAACAACAAGATAAGAAGGACTATTGTGTCAAATATTTTTTAAAGACGTTGAAATATGTATACATCTAATGGCATATAGAACCAAATTTAAGTTTTTCAATGCTGTATTAAAATCCTGGGGTGTAACATGTCACTATGTTTGTTTGCAACGTGTCTTTATTGTTGAAATAAGCATTAAAACATAAAAACATATTTTACTTGTGGTTCTAAATCTAGTTATAAAATACTCTATGTGGTTTATTTGTATTTTAAATGACCCATAGATGAAAAATAGTATTAACATTTTTCTGCCACCCCCCCTACTTGTCTAGAACGAACCTAATGATGTTCACCACTCAACCACGCACAATAGGATAATGGATAATGGATAATAATGTGATAATGGAGTTGATAGTAGTATGTTTTCTGTGACTCAACACAACGGCCAGGCTTTTTTTAACTCGCACAGTGTGTTTCGGAGATTAGTTTTGACTTTTTAAATAGTCCTCGATAATCCAGAATTTGTTGTTCTATTTTATTTATTTAATTTGTTGTTGTTGTTAATATATTTAAATCATTGGTAATGTTAATTTTAAATATATTTGTTTGGGCACTAATTATTGTTACTTATTGTAACTGTTGTGAGTATAATTACTGGAAGTTATTTCTTCACTAAGATAACTATTTATCTTGCATGTCGAGTGATATTTTTCTAACGTATTAACGCCACTTTGTAATTGGGTGTAAACCTGTTTTTTTAGCATTGCAATAAAATAAAAACAAATTAGCTAATTCATTCTTTAAAAAAGACTTAACATTACACGCAAAGGAGATCTATATAGTCGCTTTAGTCTAGCCTAAAAAGTTTACTCTCTTCTGCCATACATCCTCTTTCGTAGCCCTACCGGTATTAATTTTATTCATTGTAGGAAACAAATTTAAAAACTTGAATATTTACAATTCATGTTAAACAGCATCTAGTTTGAGAAAGAAACTTCCCCACAGGTACATTGTGCGCCCACACTCAAAATATTTCAGACAATCTGTTCTATAATTTCTAACAGGCCTACCTACTATTACCTAGTCCTAGACTACATAAGGTCTAACCGAAGGCGACATACGAGCCAATTATAGACACGAAAGTATAACACGCACTGTGGCATCTCAGGGTAGGGATGGTCAGGAGGAATACTTCAATATAAAAAACCACTGACTTCGGATGCAAGAGGAGAACTTAAACCCTATTTAAAAACATGAGATTTGAATTTATGTGAATTTTATGTTTGGTAATTATTGAGTGCGTTGATAAATGCCTCTCTCTTTAAGAGTAGATTTTACAGTAAATCCTACACTCCTGCTAGACATCTTATCTATTATGAAGTAAATATTTATTGATGACAATAATAGAATAGAATGGACCGATATGTAAGGTAAACAGTTAATATGCGTGGGCCTACTAAAACTGTATCCAAACAACTGAACAAGTAACATTACCTTTGGCTTTGTGTATACTTCTAGCATAGATGAAGTAATATAAATGGTGTTTATTTATTCTATGCTTCTAGTGAGGAGCTGGGGTCTAGTGTTAGAGCGGGACTAATGTCACTCATGTCCCGGGTTAAAGTCTTGCCAATGGTAGCTGTGTAAAAATGTCTCTAGAAATA